ATTACATATGCAAAAGTTTGGGTTGTGCCTTGCGGAATCTGTCACGTAAATAAAAAACGATTTAACAACGATTTGTGAGTTTTTACACCCATTCACAAAACTCTGGACGAGTTGCAGCCAAATACATTTATGATCAAGTCAGGTTCACGCTCAGTTTTTCCACTTTTCATCTTCCGGATTTTCGTCCAATGGCAGCAACTTTTCTCGATTAGCACATATCTCTCCGATTTCTGCAACAATTCGTCAGTTTGTAATTTCGACGGTGCGTCAATTCGCCAATTCGACAGTTAACCAATTCGGTGCTGTAACAACGTCAGCGGCGAGTGCTATTATTATTATTAATGTTGTTGTTGCTGTTGTTGTTGTTGTTGTGGTTGTGTCTGTTTTGGCCGGGCGCATAATATTTTGTTTCGTTCGTGATCGGCATTGGGCTGAGCAAATTTTGAGTTCAGTTTGTGGCCAGCGCGCGAGCGAACGACACACGGCGCGGATAAGCGACAGCTAGAGCGAGTCGGTGCGAACGTAGTGAGAGTGAGAGCGGAAATGGCATTCGAAATTATTTCAAATAAAAATCAATTCGGGTTCGAGCAGAGTACATAGGCCGGCGGGGCGGCGGTTTTGGCTAATAAACAGTTTGTCAATAAACAAACCATTTGCATATTCGCACTATTCAATTAAGTGAAATTAATTGATTCTGCTTGAAATTAATAAACAAACACAGTTGAAAAATCTGTGGCTATTGTTTATGTGAAAGTAATCTTTTTTTTTTTAAATTAATTACAGTTTGCCAGGCTTATGTCTTTAATTAAATACCAAATACAAAGTGCACAAAATTGGTCGCATACAAAAATATTTTACTGTGAACTCAACTTTTGATGGTCATGGTCGTGAATTTTATGCGAAATGCGTGCGATTTGGCTTGTCCACTGAGATTTGTGAATTATGCAATAGTAAGGAAAAAATTTAATTGACCATTTAAATGTAATTGTTTGAAATAGCAGCTGCCATTTGTCAATGCTGATGAATTTTCAATTTTTTCCGTAGTTTTTTTTATATTTAGCACTTTTATAGCTGAGCATTGATTGCTGGGCATGAAAGTGTTCAATGCGATCTGTGAGATTGTAAATTTAGAAATGTTTCTGGCTCAGATTTATCTGAATATAATATAAGCACAGCAATTGATTTATTTCTATTATTATTTTAGTGTAATTACATTCGTGTTCGTTTGTGAACAAATGTTAGTTAGCAGCTGCCAGTCATGAGAGTTATTTTACTATTATTAATTTTGTTAGCATTTTTTTTGGAATGCAGCTCAAGTAAGACCTTTTCCTTATTCAAGAGCGATATGATACGTAAAACAAATGGATGTTTCGCTGTTATATTTAGCACATTTTTGCGCACAATCTCCTGCTGTGGCCAGCTTGATATAAGATTCCCTTGAATTTTCTTTTAAATTCCCAAATTTCTAAGCATGTGTGTGAGAGGGTGAGGGCGAATTGTGGCCACACAATAATCGAAATTCGATTTTGTGGTGCGTTTTGTGATTTCGATTACCGCTGCGAATAACTTTTGCTCAAGTTCGAAGAAAATTGCCAAACATTTTACTTCAGTTCGAGTACGCGCATTTATAATTTCATTTTATTTTCTGTATTTTTTGGCATAGTGCGAGGTCGTGTATCGTTTTGCTTTGCTGTGCTTTTCATTATTTACTCTTTCAGCCTTTTAAATTTTTTTGTGTTTGTTTTGTCTCTTGTATCGTGTGTGTTATTTGAAATATTTGAAAGCCCCAAGCAGAGCGCAAAAAGTTGGTACATGTCGAGGGGCAGCGACCGCAGCGAGGGACAAAGCTGCGACTGCTGAAGAAGACGCTGATGAAGACTTGTCATGGGTTTTTTGTTAATCTCGCTTGCGGCATAGTCGGGGAAATAAAGGTGTATTTCAACTGACATAGTATTACCGAGCAGGCAAAGCAAATAAGTACTTCACGGTATTAAAACTTGTTGGCTTATTTCATTTGCCCGCTAAGTGGGCCAAAAACGCGTTGCAAAACTTTTCCATCTTGGCAAAAAAATATTTTTAAATTTTTAACAAGCTTTTAAAGCGTTCATTGTTGCCCAAAACTTGCTCAATGTCTAAAAGGGAGTATTTTTCACATCAGCTTTCGCGTTTATATGCTCTATTTAACTGTAAATAATGAATTTATGTCCAATTTTTGACGGCATCTAATCATTTTAAGGTCGGTTTGGCACGTCTTGCTCCAGTTAAGATATTCAATAAATTTCTATCCACTTAACAGTTGGGCTTTGCGGTTTTAAGCAGCCATAAATTTATTAGCATTAAATAATTTTTTTAAATTTGTTTTATAGGTCGATTTCTTGTCTATTAAAACTTGATTTTACCAATAAAGAATAAAAGTTCATTGTGTATCTTTACTGAATATTAAAAATCAAAAAATTACAAATATTTGCATTCGTTTTTTTTTTAAAGTGCATTGTCTTAAAACTCCAAAAAAACAAAATTGAACCTTTTATTAGATCTTCAAAATTCTTTAACATTGTGCGGCCTTACTTGCATAGCTTATTTATTACCAAAATGTCTTCTTATAATTCAAATGATTACACAATTCTCACGACTATCTCCAGCGAATCGCTTGGAATTGATATCGAGAGCTGATTTAGTTCCGTACCCGTTCACGATTTAGCTTTAATTTTTCCATTATAGATAGATTTTATCAAATCGATGAGACTGCCACAATATATTGAAACTTTTTGCAAATTTAGCACGTTGGTTTTACATAGCCCCTCTTAAGTTCTTTAATGATTTATTTATATTTGTTGTAGCTGTTGTTGCTGCTGTTGTTGTTGTTGTTGCTGGTTGCGTGCGTTGGCCATTTGCAAGTTGTTAACAAATATGTGAATCAAATAATGATTTTTGTGACGTTTATTGGGGACGCTTCGTTTACGCATCAAAAACCAAAAAAAAAAGGGTGCTAAATGCCAAAATCGAGTTCTGTGCTAATTGCAAATCAAATATTTTATGGAGTTGCTGTAAATTAATCATAGAAAATTGTTAGCCAACTGGTGAAATAAATATGTTGTTCAACTGAGTTTTAACTTAGTTGCAGTGGCTGCAGCAAAGGGCGATTGCATTTCCATTGTGGCATTCGTTGATGTCACAATTCGTGCACGACTTGAAGCGCGTTTCGGCACGTTTTCTGCCAGCTGCTGTGAAGGTCGCAGACTGGGTGAAAATAACCGATTTTTCGTGTTGTTGTTTCTTTCTATCCTCTTTTTGTTTTTTTTTGCGGTGGTTATGAAGCTACTGCAACAGTTGGATATTTTAATTACAGTGACTGTCTTGACTGCCGCCGGTTTGCAAACGGACGACAAAAAAAGAGAAACAACAACAATTCATTACATAACCAGCGCAATAAGACAGACAGATACTCAAACCACATGCTATATACATATAAACATGTGTACACGCATACATATGTACACGCATACATATGCATACATGCAAGCAATGTTTAAGTATGCCCGGTCGCTTGTTGATTATGTTTTGAAACCTGTTTTTATGGGTGCCATCAGCCAGACAGAGACAGAGATGGACATTCAGTTGTAGAGTGAGTGGCTCAGACTGAGCTGCTCTCCCCCCTCTCCCTCTCTCTCTTTCTTTCTTTCTCTGGCTTAGTAGGTTGCCCTAGGCCAAGTCACGTGCCTTCTTCTCGCCCGGCTTGTTAAAAGCTCTTCAATAATTTCAGGTTCGTTTATGATTTGCATTTTTCGCCCCCCAAAATTTGATCAAGGTATTATGCATATTGCTGTTGCGTTTGTAACGCATGGTCTGTTTCGGCTCAGTGTTGTAATATTTCATATATATGTATTATAGAGTCGTTTTGCATCACTCAAGTGATGAAAGATGCGAATCTCTTCAAACACTATTTACATTGACATGAAATATTAAATTAATAAACGTTCAATTGATTCCTTGTAAAAATAATAATTAGCTCCATGCTCGTCAATTGTCTTATGAGATATATCTGTCCATATTCATTTAGATCTTGCAGGCACGTGATCAAATTGATCTCGACACTTGGACTCGGGCAGTTGATAGCAGTGCGGACAAATGACTTCCGAAAAATTATGAATCTTATCAACGTTTTTTTGCTCTACTTAGGAACCGAATGAAAAGTATGAGGAATCATACATGAAATTTAGCGAAACTTTGGAACTAATGAAATTCTCAACCTTGAGCACCTTGTTCAACAAAATATAATCTATTCAAGTAGATAAGATTTAAGTTTAGCAATTGTCTTTAATTTTAGTTTTAATACTCATTCACAAAGTGACTTGTGATTCACATTTTTGCATTATTTACTCATCGTTTAATTTTGTGCGTTTTTTTTATTTTTGAGATTTCTATTTCTTTTCGGTTTTAAATAGAGCTTGTTTCCTGGCTGTTATTCTGCATACTTAGGGCATTTGGTAGTCTAACAAGTTCCATCGAAAGGGCGACCTAGTCTAAGATTGTCTATTTGTGCCAGTCTGTTGGGCTGTCTTGAATTATTAATATGCAAAATCAATGAATAGTTTGCTGTAATTTATTATGTATGCTTCCCACTCCCTACTCCTTCCCCTATGTTTCGCGACATTATAAAGATCACATGACTATTTTAAATAAAAACGAACTGAAACGTGGACTTGTTTCTCAGTCGGCATCAGCAATTCGCGTGGTTCGTTCAGCAAATCGAACAGAAAATGGGCTTAGAAAAGGATGTAGGAACAGTTGGTTAACTGGCTAATTAGCAACAGAATTACCAGATTAAGAAATTTATAAACGAGGAAGGATTTCTGTTAACAAAAAGGATTATTAACTATACAGATGAAAGCTGAAAGTTCAGTACCTGGCTAAGGGTCATTGCTTTGCATTTGATTATCGCCATTGTCTAGACTTTTGTTTAGCATCATTTAACCAAATAAATTATTAATTGCCAAATAGCCGCAAAGCCAAGCCGCTGCAGCTCGAACTCCTGACGCGATCTTCGGTGGACATCTAGCTACGAAATTAACGTGTTCCTTGTGAAATTCGTGTGTTTCTCTTTAGGTAATTGGCATTGTAGTCTCTGGTTTTGCGACGATTTCTCCGGTGGAAGCACTCAGCACACAGCAGCGCTTGCGGGTGTATAAAATATTGTGCAAACTTTAAGATACATTTATGAGTGCTAACAGAAAGGCACCCGCACGCCGCATAAGTAGACGCATCTGTTAACACACAGGCGCCCAGTTTGTATAGTGATAAAATGTGAAGTGCGTTTAACTGAAGTGAAAGAAAGCAAACGTAAAACACGTCCGCAAAAGTCAGCAGCAAAGCCGCCAGCTGCAAACTTGCCCTAGTTCGAATTTACCATAAGTATAAACATACACACACACACACACACATACCCGCACACACTCTCAAACGGTGATAAAAAAATGAGTTCCCTCGAGGAATTTGAGCGGCTGCGGCTGCAGGAGCAGCAGGAGCAAGTCGCACTGGAACTGGAACTGCAGCGAAATCGCACCATCAGCATGCACATCCATCCAAAGCTCTCAGAGTATTATACACGTGAGTAAAACAAAAAAAAACTGAGCACAAATGAGTTCTCATTTGCATACAAAATATGAATGTGTATTTAGTTAAAAAGTCACGCGGGATGTGAACAAATAGGCTTCACGCTTGAAAACCCGGCTAGGGCATAAATGTTGTTAAGATCCTGACCTATTAGCATGTGAGCCATAGCATTATTATTTCTTAGAAAGATCAGCCTATACCTGCATTACGTATCCAGGACAACAGGACAACAAAGTTATATAGAAATTTATAAGAATGTGATACATTTTAATAAAGATATTTTTATATTTCGAGGTCATTTGTCTGTCACATTTTGTATATTGCAGAAAATGAATACATTTGTATATATGGGGCAGAAATTGAGGTCTGGTGAATAATATTTATCTTTTGCTAGTTATTTAGTTTTCCACCTTTGGTTCAATGTTAAATTAAGTTATTGACTCAGCTGATGCTTATTATCATAAAATTACTTTAAGAACATGTAGTATGAGTTATATTTTGACAATTGTTAGTTATTTATGGCTTGCTGTCTGACCTCTTAACATCTAGTTAGCAAATCAAGAAGAAAATAGAATGAAAAAAATATTTCTGAAAATAGTTTAGATTTGTATAAAGTACACACCTCTTATGCATGCCAGTTAATCTCACCCACCAAAGACTTTGTTTTCTTTGATTACCAAAGTGCCTTAAGCTAATATTGGAATAAATAATTTTGTTTAGCAAGTAAACCGTTCAAGTGAAGTGCTGCATTTAAGATAAAGATAAGTTAAAGCTAATAAAAGTATCTGGTTAATATTTAGTTATACTCTGCATGTATTTCCCCTTCACCCATGAGCTGAAGCTAATTGAAAAACCTGTTTTTTTTTTTATTTCTCATAGACATGACGGCCTTTCTCTCGCTGGCCATCTTCATAGCCGCATTGCTGACCATACTCAACATTTCCATATACCTGACGACCGTATCGCGGCTGCGACGTCATCTAAATAAACCGCTGAGGATACCCTCCATAGTGATGGTCAGTCTGTATCCGATCATATCGGTGGCTGCCCTGGTCACCATAATGGTGCCGTATTCCTGGTTCATATGCCACACGGTGATGCATGCTATGTTCATGATAGGCGGTCCGATTTTTCGCACGCTGCTCTTTCGCTACGTCGACTCGGAGCAGAACTATTTGAAGGAAACATCCGGCGAGCCAGTTACGCTGGCTACGCCCCCGTGCTGCTGTTGCTGCCTCTGCCTGCCCATGGTGGTGCCGACGAAGGCGAAGCTCTGCATCTCCCGGTACATGGTCTGGCAGATGCCCTTCTGGCAGGGCAGCATAATGCTGATCATGAACATACTCTATTATCGTGATCGGGATCTGTACCGCGAGGTGGTATTCTTCTTCATACCCTTCATCATAATGTCGATCGTATTAGGCGCCTGGTCTCTGCAAATCACGGTGCGCATGATTACCAAGCTCCGCGGCGACTATCAGCTGCGGAAGAAGATGTTCTGCCTGCAACTGGTGGTGATGCTTTGCAAGCTGCAATATCTGATACTCTACGAGCAGCTAAACTCATTCAAGCTGGGCGGTGAATATCCCATCAATCACACCATCCACAAACAGAGTAAGTATATAGAGAGGGGGATTTATTGAGCAACCTAACTAAAGATGGGCTTATTTCATTTACAGCCATCATCAATATTTTGATACTGGTCGAAATGGTTCTGGTCTCAATGCTGGCACAGAGCGCTTATCGTACGCCGATTCAAGTGCAAATCGACGAATCGAATCACAACTGAAAGGATTGTGCTTTTCAGTTGGTTAGGGGCAAGAGTTATAGCAAATGATTGTGATAATTTACAATAATAAAGACAAATTAGATTACAATAAAAAGCAGCTAAGAATTAAATTCTAAATGCATATAGAGGAGAGCGGAGGAAGTGTGGCAATTGTAGCAAGATCTTGATCGATGTGACTGATGTATATTGTCTGGATGCCCATTGCAATGGGGTTCTTTTTTGTACTCCATTTAGTTTAAAGCTCGTACGTAAATATTAGGTTCTTCATCATGCAAATATAAAGCCTTTTCTCTGTGTGTGCTATGTAAATGCTAAACAATCTTTCAGTAAGCTCTTGATGAGAACAGAGGAGAATATTAAATACTCGAAGGACTGGTGATAATGCTTCTATATAAGAATTCGGCTTAAAAGCCCAATTTAAGTTCATCTCAAGGGCATACATTTTATCTTTTTAACGACATAAATTGTAGTTTTTAAACAAATATCAACTTGATTTAGTTCATTTTAGTCGCATTTAGTTAACAATCCTTGTGCCCCGCAGTGTCACTTTTGCTGCCGTTGTAATTCAAACGAAATGGGTCGAATCTCAGTTGCCTTGTTGGCCAAATAGCCGACCACAAATCATCATGTGTTGTCCTGGGTTTTGCCTGGATAGAGTCTGTGTCCGGCTCAGCTCAGGCCTTGGGGCTCCTAGGACACGCGTGTCGCGTTTAGCTCATAATTCTCAATGGCCCCCAGGGGGAGGAGGAGGGTGTGCTTTACATTTTTCAACAAAATTGTATGCGGCTTAGGCCGAATGCCTAGGCGCCATAAAAATACAATAAATAAGTATGTTTTTTTCTTTCCGGCTAGATAGCCTTTTTCGGATAACTCAATTGCCGTCGCTCGGGCATAGCTGTGCGGGGAGCAGGGAGCAGGGAGCATGCCGACAGGCTGACACGAGCGACCAAGGGCCGAGAAACAGCAAAAACAAAAACAACAATAGCGGCAGCATCAGCAGCAACAACAATTGCGTGTTGCTGCGGCAGTGCGTTGAAATTTATGATTTATTTGAAAAGAAAGTACATTGTGCGCTGCCGAAATAAATCACACCAAAGACGCTGAGAAGAAACGAACGTCAGCCAACGAAAATCAAATAAATAATGTTAAAAATAAGTTAGACCAGACACGCAGCTTGTTTACCCTAGCAAAAATTATATTCGTATTATTTTGTAAGTAATTCAGAAATCCTTTTCAAAATATTATGCACTATTATTGCATAGAATTTGTAGCAAAAATATTTAATTTAATGTGCGCCCAGAAGTATGCAGCAATAAATTTGCACATTTTACACTGAGTTTCAGGGCAACCCTCATATTTGCTTGAAATTATACTTATGTGTGGCAAACAGCTTGCGCAAAACATAATGCCCTGCAAGGGTGCCCCGTTCTGGGCCAGGAATAGGGCCACAACAGTCAAGTGCCTTGGTCGGTCGCTGTTATCTTATCGTTCTTTTATGATGTACACAACGCCACAGAGCAGAGCTATGAAAAGCCTTTGCCAGTGTACGCTCCTGCCCTGGCAGCGTAGCCCCTTAGTCCCTTATCCCGCCCGGCCGCTTGGGCGCACTGACAGCTCTTGTGTCTTGTGTCGGACCGAAGCTGTCGGTTTTTATGAAGACGCTTGTTTACTTGGTCTCCGCCAAGGAGTCGACGGGCTGGCCCGGCCAAGCAAGGCAAGTAAATCAGATTAAGTACCCGCTGCTCATTTTGATGAGTTGCAAGTGCCAACGATGAAGACGAGTACGCGGCACGCATCCAGATTAGTTGGCAGCGGGGATGCAACCCGTGTGCGGCTTTTTGATTTCAAATTGGATTTTTGCAACGGATATGTGCGCGTACTACACACAATTTGTGTGCAAAAAATTTAATTAAAATGCAAGCTATCGAATAAAGCAGAGCATATGCCTTTGCTTTTGTTAGAATTTCCATTAAACATTTTTATTAGAGCACAGTAAAGGAACAGTAAAGAAACAAAAGTTCACAAAGAGATGGTTGGAATTGTTATGTTAACTTTACTGTTTACTCCCTGAAACACTAAACGTGGCAGTTTAAATCATTTTTTGGCTTAGTTTTAATATATTATATGATTTAAATCAACAAATCAATTGTTTGTCATCGTTGGATTTGTATTTGATATTGTTAGCTCAACATTTCCGCCATTTTGATATTCTGGTAGCATTAATAAAATATTATAGCATACTTTTGTGCTTGGCAATAAAAAATTTGATAAAGCATTTTCAAAATGCCGGCACGAAAAATGTAGAAAAAAACTGTGACGCCCACTTGATGGCGACGTCTGCTTCTGCTTCTGCTTCGGGCATTGTCTACGCCTCTTGGCCATGTCCAAGCACGTTAGGCCATCAGCTGACACAACATCAGACAAAACAGCAACACCAACAAACAAATGGAGAAGCTGTCAGACAGTGTCTTATGTCACTGTCCATTAGACGCCAAGGCGGGTCGATGGTGGATGGGGCAGAGAGGGCCCGTGCTTAAGGTTGTCCAATGAATTGTTTACGCCGGCTTCCTTAATGCTGGAATATTGGAATATTCATCGTATCGCCATGGGCGTAGTTTGAGGCCCAGTGCTGGGCACATTGGGCCCAAGGCATGACTTATGAGCAGATAAATTTCATGGCTGCTTGCGCGCGAAAACACTTAGACAAATTAAATAATGCGCATACGCCGTGTTGTGCGGCTGTTGAATTCAACTAATAGAAATTATAACACAATATTTGTCATTCACAGACAATTTAACAGATTCCCAGATGATGCGCAACTTCTGCAGCCATTTTATGATTATTGACTTGACTTGGCGTTTTTATTGTATTTTATTCTTTTTATGTTTTCTCGCGTCTTTGTTTTTCTGTCTTTTGTTTATTTCAGCATTTTGAGTATTTATGCCTGTCCTTTGTCGAGGGCTTTCCTTCCGCTCTCGAGTCGCTTTCTTCAGCTGCTCGCCCATTTCGCTGGTGCTAAGTAAATAAGTTTTATGACTTTCTTTCGCTTGTGCTGTTCTCTGGCAGCCTCGTAAAATTGCGTACGTCTGTGTCTTATGCTTGATTGATTTCATGCTCAACTTTGTCCCGATTTGCCAAGGTTTTGATTTTTTCAACTTCTTCGCAACACAAATGCCACGCTTTAAGCTTTGTACAGTATTGAGTTGTTGGTGATTTCATAAATTGTACGCTGGCCAGAAATATCCCGAAATGTCTTATCAATTTTTTGTTAATTATAGCTCTGCAAGTTTAAGTTTGCGAAACTTTTGCTTTAAATCAGTTATGTGTATTTATGCTGAATAACCATTCTTTGCTTTTTTATGGACTTAAAGCTTCGTTAAGATCTTTAACTTTAAGAAATACATATGTGTACACACCTATAAAAGGGAGGGTTGCCTGTTAATGCTGTTATGCCTTTTACACATTTCCTCTGTATTTTTTATGCGCTCAAAACATCGTTTACCTCATCTGCGCTCTTGCAGTTACCGTTCCTTGCATTTCCTGTCACTGCAGGCAATACTTCAACTCATGAAAATCGCATAGAAAGGCGACAGATACGTATTAATTATTATTGGTATTGTCGGCAATCAATTGAACACACCATTTATACATTACAGCTAACTATAAATTTTAATTAAAATCCTGATATAATTGAAAGTTTTTTTAGAAACTTTTCGCAGGAAATGTGGCTTTGACTTTTACGGGCGGCCGGAAATTTGAATATTTTTGCATTTTGCACACATTTGGCCGCATTTGTTTTGATATTTTATCCTCTGTTCACAATGTGTAAAATTTTTTTTCACTAAGAGCGGAGCATGGCCGACCCGAGTGCAATGTTTTTACTCCCCGCTGCTGTTATGAAATTAGGAAAACACGGCTGGTATCATTTAATTAAAAACTTTTTAGAACGTTGACTTTTTCGGCCAAAGTCACAACAGGCCACACATTTAAGCCACCGGAGCCGCACAGGCGCCTTAAATTAATTAATGCGCCGCTTCGGAGCATAAGAAAAATATTTGCGCATGTTTTGGCATAATTAAACAGGGTTTTGCACACTCCAGTGAGAAGAGTAACAAAAAAAAGTGATTTTAATCTTTGCATTCTTTTAAGTCCTGAAACCGACTTGGATTTTGGGAGCATGCAAGCACCCCAATAAACAAACACTTAATTTCCGATATATTCATATGAATCCACCTAAAAATGATCTTGGAACATCATAAAAGTATATTTAAGGCATACATTGCAGCTTTAAGTTGACTTCCAGCTGCAATCGAGCTTAAAGCACGACTCGCAGCATTATTCTCCCTGCCTGTTGAGTTTGTGCTCTTCTGTTAGGGGACCAATTTTACGATTGTTTGCCTTTTGCAGCTTAAGCTATTGCTGATTAGGCTTATTTTTGCAGGGTATACATGTTTCAATTGAAGCTCGACTTTAGCAGCCGTTTACCTTTAAGCCAGCTGCCCATGGGCATTTGTCTGTAAGTTTGGGAAACGGGCCTGTTGTTCTTTCGGCCCGGCCTTATGCTGAGCACTCAGTTTAACAATGGCAAACAAGTAAAGCGCTGCCAAATCCGCTTAAAGAGCATTTGTGTGTAACGGCAGCAGAAACAAAACCAAAACTGACTAAGCAACGCTGGCATCTGCTCGTGTTAAGGCAGCTCTAGCACCAGTTCCAGCTCAGGCTCCGTCTGCGGCTGCTGCTGCACTGCGTTGTTTTTTTTCTGTTGTTTTTTTTTATATTTTTTTTATTTTTACACCTTGCCATTCCTCCATTAGGGGACTTTGCATAAGTGACAAGCAAGCGAGAGACTTGGGGCACAGCCTCAACGTCAGCCACATACATTCCCATTTCCATCCTTATCCTCATTCACATTCCCATTTAAATCCAATGCCATGTGGTGTCATGTGTGAGTGGCTCGGCTAAAGCCCCGGGCTAATGCAGCGTACACAGACAGGCAGGCATGAGGCGCTGCTAACACGAGACGCTTGTCAAATGCTCCCAAGTGTAAGTCGAGCCGGATCGTGGAACGGGGGCGACAGAAAGCCAGCTTGCAG